ATCGAGGATTAGGATTAATCCGCTGCCAATGGAAGGCTCCTTTACAACATTGGTCCATTGCTCAGCGACTGTCCAATGTGCCCGATGCCCTTTTTCAGTCGATCTTTGATTATTCGGCTGAGGTTGATGAATGTGCCGAGAGATTGGGGGTTGATCGGGGTATTCGGAATATGAGAGCTCTACGGCAGTCGCTTCGAGAAAATTCGTTTGAGGAAAGGACCAATTGCAGGTGGCAGGGCATTGGAGTTCGCCATTTTAAAGAGACCCCGAAAGCCAATAAATACATGTACGATAAGCAGGTACTTTCTGGGTCTGAATGGTCAAATGCCCTGAAACTAAATATTAATTATGCACCCCTGCGTGTAGTCCCAGGTGTCAGCGGACAGGTAAGAGAAGTTGGGTCCCTCTGTCGCAAATGCGACAGAGAGGCAGAAACACCAGCACATGTGCTTGGAAAATGCCCCAACAACTCCCTCCTTATAACACGCCGTCACCACAGAGTCAAACATGAACTGATGAGGCTCCTTGAAGAGAGAGAATACGCCTGTTTCGAGGGAGTATATTGTATAGATACGGATGGATCCACCCGATATGCCGAAATTGTAGAATTTCCTAAGACGGGAAAGTCGGCGATGATTTTGGATCCAACTGTGAGATATGAGACCAACGACCTCGATCAGGCAGGAAAAGTGGAAAGGGAGAAAAAACAGACATATGAGAAATGCATCCCTTTCCTTAGTGAAAAGTTCCGCGAGAGTTTCGGACCGAGAGAGTTCCACGTGAGAGGCCTTTGGTTCGGAGCTCGCGGAACGATACCAGATTCAACAAGGAGCTTCATGGAGGGCCTTGGTGTCGACATAAAGGACGTGGCAAGGTTGGCAGAGAGTATAATCCTAGACTCCCTGGGAATCATCGACCACCATGTGCATGGGAGCGGATCCCTATCCCCCTAGAGAGTTTGCTCGCGGGGAGGAGGCATGCGTGTGTTATAGCATTTTTATATTATTATTTATTGAACACGTCCACTGTACTTTATGTATTTTTTATGTATTAGGTTATAAAGAGAGAGGGGAGAGTGTGAGGAGTGGGAACATGTATACGGGGAGAGAAGGAGGAGAAAGGGTACAGAATGATAATAAATGAATGAAAGAAATAGTAAAAATAAAAAAAAATAAAATGGAGGAAAAAAGGAAAAAAAAAAATAATAATATATATTTATATGTATGTATAAAATATTGTATACTATGCTCATACATATTGTTAATCCTATATAATTGTATAATAATTTTAAATAATGTCTGTAGTGATTAATAAGTATGCTGTGTTGTTAGTAACCCAATTTAATTGGGCAGCACCATTTTATTTTATGATAATAAAGTGATTCTCTCTCTCTCTCAGCTTTCCAACGATGTGTTATACATATACCTTCTGACTCATTTTCGAAAGAATTGAACATTTTCCTCTTTTTCAATTATAAAATTCTGTCAAAAGTTATATTTAGCATTTTTTCCGTAATTCTTAATAATGAGAGATAGTTAATTATTTAGATAGTTAATTACGGTAATTTAGAAGAAGACATGTTGAACATTTAAGCCCTGTAAAGTGACATCAACTTCCTTCAATAAAAAAGAAGTAGGTTTGTCGCAGTTTTTTTTTTTCTTGTCATGGTGATATTAGTTACTTTATATTTTTTAATATCCACAACAGGACAGTTCAATTCCCCTTCCGGTTTGACCCCGCGTCATATACGAAGGTTCGGTTTCAATTTTGTACATCACAATTAGCTCAATGACTTATCGCGACAAGGATAGACCTCGACGAATTGCACAATTCAATTCATCTCCGAAATCAACCCCCGCTATTGACGTATAATCGGTTTAATACATTTCATCATGGAGAGGTAAGCGGCTTTGCTCTGACAACGGTATCTCCTCTCAACAGGTGACGAGGCTCTCCCCCCCCTCTCCCCCCCCCAGCGACCCATCATCGGTGCCCTGTTTTCTCTAATTGTCGAGCTATTACAAACCGTTTCGTAGATAAGTTTCAAACAAGGTCTATAGAATTTCAAAAAGGAGCCCGATTCCGTTGACGCTTGTACCCTTGTCAGTGTAAAATGAAAATTAATCCAAAATGGTAATTTGGTGGGATTTATTGGAGTTTATTTTAATTCTTCAGTTTTGACACCGTTCTTCTAGATTTATGATGTGTGATTGAAGCATTTGGGATGCAATTGCTGGTTCATTATTTACTGATAGGATACATGTGTCATCGGCTTATGCGGTGATGACAGTGTTGGGATAGGTAGGGATGTCAGCTGTATAAACTGTATAGAGGATAGGGCCTAGGATACTACCTTGAGGAACACCACCAGACTGGGAACATTATTAAGTTAAGATTTATTTGCTTTCGTGGTAGAAATGCGATATCTAGAGCTTAGTTGTGTTAAGTTGTTCTTTTTTTATCCCGGAGTTTATCTATTTATTAATTATATTTTATTTGTACATGATTGAGATCTTGACCCTTATATAATCTGCTGGAAATCTTGTTTTTACTGAAAGAAACAGCCAAAACCATCAAAAGTCGTATGCATTGTAATGCCAAGTATTAAGGAGGTGCATACGAGGTGCATCCAGAAAATAAGAGTTCTGTTGAGATCTAGCGCTGTGGGAATATATTTTTTTTTAAGTTGTCCACACTGAGCTTTAGTAAAGATCCTAATAAAAACAACGGGCAGTGACGACACTTAATTTAGTACAAAAATTTGCCGTCTAGGGATAGAGCTGAGCTCTATTATGACTTATAATGAAATATATGTGGCTCATTACACGTTCATCGTCCGTCTATCACGTAGGGTTATCCTTCCTTATGAAATGGACAAAAATCAAAATAACAATAGAAACGAAAAGGAAAATAAACGAATGTTGTATTTTCATATTCCTACGCAGAACCTTTTTGAAAAAATGGAAAAAAAATTTGAGAAGGGGTAAATCTTTTGTTTTTCTTGGTCGATCACAAAGGTCCATTATTGAAATAAATAAAGCAAAAAATATATAATCTAAACATAAGTATAACTAATATACAAAATACAGACTACACTTAATTTAGTACCAAAATTTGCCGTCTAGGGGTACAGCTTCCCGCTGATTTTCTGAGCTCTATTATGACTTATAATGAAATATATGTGGCTCATTACACATTCATCGTCCGTCTATCACGTAGGGTTATCCTTCCTTATGAAATGGACAAAAATCAAAATAACAATAGAAACGAAAAGGAAAAAAACGAATGTTGTATTTTCATATTCCTACGCAGAACCTTTTTGAAAAAATTGAAAAACATTTTGAGAAGGGGTAAATCTTTCGTTTTTCTTGGTCGATCACAAAGGTCCATTATTGAAAATAATAAAGCAAAAAATATATAATCTAAACATAAATATAACTAATATACAAAATACAGACGAAACTTAATTTAGTACAAAAATTTGCCGTCTAGGGATAGAGCTGCCCGCTGATTTTCTGAGCTCTATTATGACTTATAATGAAATATATGTGGCTCATTACACGTTCATCGTCCGTCTATCACGTAGGGTTATCCTTCCTTATGAAATGGACAAAAATCAAAATAACAAAAGAAACGAAAAGGAAAAAAAAGAATGTTGTATTTTCATATTCCAACGCAGAACCTTTTAGAAAAAATTGAAAAACATTTTGAAAAGGGGTAAATCTTTCGTTTTTCTTGGTCGATCACAAAGGTTTATTATTGAAAATAATAAAACTAAAAATATATAATCTATATATAAATATAACTTATATACAAAATACAGACTACACTTAATTTAGTACCAAAATTTGCCGTCTAGGGGTACAGCTGCCGCTGATTTCTGAGCTCTATTATGACTTATAATGAAATATATGTGGCTCATTACACGTTCATCGTCCGTCTATCACGTAGGGTTATCCTTCCTTATGAAATGGACAAAAATCAAAATAACAATAGAAACGAAAAGGAAAAAAACGAATGTTGTATTTTCATATTCCTAAGCAGAACCTTTTTGAAAAAATTGAAAAACATTTTGAGAAGGGGTAAATCTTTCGTTTTTCTTGGTCGATCACAAAGGTTTATTATTGAAAATAATAAAACTAAAAATATATAATCTATACATAAATATAACTTATATACAAAATACAGACTACACTTAATTTAGTACCAAAATTTGCCGTCTAGGGGTACAGCTTCCCGCTGATTTTCTGAGCTCTATTATGACTTATAATGAAATATATGTGGCTCATTACACATTCATCGTCCGTCTATCACGTAGGGTTATCCTTCCTTATGAAATGGACAAAAATCAAAATAACAATAGAAACGAAAAGGAAAAAAACGAATGTTGTATTTTCATATTCCTACGCAGAACCTTTTTGAAAAAATTGAAAAACATTTTGAGAAGGGGTAAATCTTTTATTTTTCTTGGTCGATCACAAAGGTCCATTATTGAAAATAATAAAGCAAAAAATATATAATCTAAACATAAATATAACTAATATACAAAATACAGACGAAACTTAATTTAGTACAAAAATTTGCCGTCTAGGGATAGAGCTGCCCGCTGATTTTCTGAGCTCTATTATGACTTATAATGAAATATATGTGGCTCATTACACGTTCATCGTCCGTCTATCACGTAGGGTTATCCTTCCTTATGAAATAGACAAAAATCAAAATAACAAAAGAAACGAAAAGGAAAAAAAACGAATGTTGTATTTTCATATTCCAACGCAGAACCTTTTAGAAAAAATTGAAAAACATTTTGAAAAGGGGTAAATCTTTCGTTTTTCTTGGTCGATCACAAAGGTTTATTATTGAAAATAATAAAAAAAAATATAATCTATATATAAATATAACTTATATACAAAATACAGACTACACTTAATTTAGTACCAAAATTTGCCGTCTAGGGGTACAGCTGCCCGCTGATTTTCTGAGCTCTATTATGACTTATAATGAAATATATGTGGCTCATTACACGTTCATCGTCCGTCTATCACGTAGGGTTATCCTTCCTTATGAAATGGACAAAAATCAAAATAACAATAGAAACGAAAAGGAAAATAAACGAATGTTGTATTTTCATATTCCTACGCAGAACCTTTTTGAAAAAATGGAAAAAAAATTTGAGAAGGGGTAAATCTTTTGTTTTTCTTGGTCGATCACAAAGGTCCATTATTGAAATAAATAAAGCAAAAAATATATAATCTAAACATAAGTATAACTAATATACAAAATACAGACGAAACTTAATTTAGTACAAAAATTTGCCGTCTAGGGATAGAGCTGCCCGCTGATTTTCTGAGCTCTATTATGACTTATAATGAAATATATGTGGCTCATTACACGTTCATCGTCCGTCTATCACTTAGGGTTATCCTTCCTTATGAAATGGACAAAATCAAAATAACAATAGAAACGAAAAGGAAAAAAACGAATGTTGTATTTTCATATTCCTAAGCAGAACCTTTTTGAAAAAATTGAAAAAACATTTTGAGAAGGGGTAAATCTTTCGTTTTTCTTGGTCGATCACAAAGGTTTATTATTGAAAATAATAAAACTAAAAATATATAATCTATACATAAATATAACTTATATACAAAATACAGACTACACTTACTTAATTTAGTACCAAAATTTGCCGTATAGGGGTACAGCTTCCCGCTGATTTTCTGAGCTCTATTATGACTTATAATGAAATATATGTGGCTCATTACACATTCATCGTCCGTCTATCACGTAGGGTTATCCTTCCTTATGAAATGGACAAAAATCAAAATAACAATAGAAACGAAAAGGAAAAAAACGAATGTTGTATTTTCATATTCCTAAGCAGAACCTTTTTGAAAAAATTGAAAAACATTTTGAGAAGGGGTAAATCTTTCGTTTTTCTTGGTCGATCACAAAGGTTTATTATTGAAAATAATAAAACTAAAAATATATAATCTATACATAAATATAACTTATATACAAAATACAGACTACACTTAATTTAGTACCAAAATTTGCCGTCTAGGGGTACAGCTTCCCGCTGATTTTCTGAGCTCTATTATGACTTATAATGAAATATATGTGGCTCATTACACATTCATCGTCCGTCTATCACGTAGGGTTATCCTTCCTTATGAAATGGACAAAAATCAAAATAACAATAGAAACGAAAAGGAATAAAACGAATGTTGTATTTTCATATTCCTACGCAGAACCTTTTTGAAAAAATTGAAAAACATTTTGAGAAGGGGTAAATCTTTTATATTTCTTGGTCGATCACAAAGGTCCATTATTGAAAATAATAAAGCAAAAAATATATAATCTAAACATAAATATAACTAATATACAAAATACAGACGAAACTTAATTTAGTACAAAAATTTGCCGTCTAGGGATAAAGCTGCCCGCTGATTTTGTGAGCTCTATTATGACTTATAATGAAATATATGTGGCTCATTACACGTTCATCGTCCGTCTATCACGTAGGGTTATCCTTCCTTATGAAATGGACAAAAATCAAAATAACAAAAGAAACGAAAAGGAAAAAAACGAATGTTGTATTTTCATATTCCAACGCAGAACCTTTTAGAAAAAATTGAAAAACATTTTGAAAAGGGGTAAATCTTTCGTTTTTCTTGGTCGATCACAAAGGTTTATTATTGAAAATAATAAAACTAAAAATATATAATCTATATATAAATATAACTTATATACAAAATACAGACTACACTTAATTTAGTACCAAAATTTGCCGTCTAGTGGTACAGCTGCCCGCTGATTTTCTGAGCTCTATTATGACTTATAATGAAATATATGTGGCTCATTACACGTTCATCGTCCGTCTATCACGTAGGGTTATCCTTCCTTATGAAATGGACAAAAATCAAAATAACAATAGAAACGAAAAGGAAAATAAACGAATGTTGTATTTTCATATTCCTACGCAGAACCTTTTTGAAAAAATGGAAAAAAAATTTGAGAAGGGGTAAATCTTTTGTTTTTCTTGGTCGATCACAAAGGTCCATTATTGAAAATAATAAAGCAAAAAATATATAATCTAAACATAAATATAACTAATATACAAAATACAGACGAAACTTAATTTAGTACCAAAATTTGCCGTCTAGGGATAGAGCTGCCCACTGATTTACTGAGCTCTATTATGACTTACAATGAAATATATGTGGCTCATTACACGTTCATCGTCCGTCTATCACGTAGGGTTATCCTTCCTTATGAAATGGACAAAAATCAAAATAACAATAGAAACGAAAAGGAAAATAAACGAATGTTGTATTTTCATATTCCTACGCAGAACCTTTTTGAAAAAATTGAAAAACATTTTGAGAAGGGGTAAATCTTTTATTTTTCTTGGTCGATCACAAAGGTCCATTATTGAAAATAATAAAGCAAAAAATATATAATCTAAACATAAATATAACTAATATACAAAATACAGACGAAACTTAATTTAGTACAAAAATTTGCCGTCTAGGGATAGAGCTGCCCGCTGATTTTCTGAGCTCTATTATGACTTATAATGAAATATATGTGGCTCATTACACGTTCATCGTCCGTCTATCACGTAGGGTTATCCTTCCTTATGAAATGGACAAAAATCAAAATAACAAAAGAAACGAAAAGGAAAAAAACGAATGTTGTATTTTCATATTCCAACGCAGAACCTTTTAGAAAAAATTGAAAAACATTTTGAAAAGGGGTAAATCTTTCGTTTTTCTTGGTCGATCACAAAGGTTTATTATTGAAAATAATAAAACTAAAAATATATAATCTATATATAAATATAACTTATATACAAAATACAGACTACACTTAATTTAGTACCAAAATTTGCCGTCTAGGGGTACAGCTGCCCGCTGATTTTCTGAGCTCTATTATGACTTATAATGAAATATATGTGGCTCATTACACGTTCATCGTCCGTCTATCACGTAGGGTTATCCTTCCTTATGAAATGGACAAAAATCAAAATAACAATAGAAACGAAAAGGAAAATAAACGAATGTTGTATTTTCATATTCCTACGCAGAACCTTTTTGAAAAAATGGAAAAAAAATTTGAGAAGGGGTAAATCTTTTGTTTTTCTTGGTCGATCACAAAGGTCCATTATTGAAAATAATAAAGCAAAAAATATATAATCTAAACATAAATATAACTAATATACAAAATACAGACGAAACTTAATTTAGTACCAAAATTTGCCGTCTAGGGATAGAGCTGCCCACTGATTTACTGAGCTCTATTATGACTTACAATGAAATATATGTGGCTCATTACACGTTCATCGTCCGTCTATCACGTAGGGTTATCCTTCCTTATGAAATGGACAAAAATCAAAATAACAATAGAAACGAAAAGGAAAATAAACGAATGTTGTATTTTCATATTCCTACGCAGAACCTTTTTGAAAAAATTGAAAAACATTTTGAGAAGGGGTAAATCTTTTATTTTTCTTGGTCGATCACAAAGGTCCATTATTGAAAATAATAAAGCAAAAAATATATAATCTAAACATAAATATAACTAATATACAAAATACAGACGAAACTTAATTTAGTACAAAAATTTGCCGTCTAGGGATAGAGCTGCCCGCTGATTTTCTGAGCTCTATTATGACTTATAATGAAATATATGTGGCTCATTACACGTTCATCGTCCGTCTATCACGTAGGGTTATCCTTCCTTATGAAATGGACAAAAATCAAAATAACAAAAGAAACGAAAAGGAAAAAAACGAATGTTGTATTTTCATATTCCAACGCAGAACCTTTTAGAAAAAATTGAAAAACATTTTGAAAAGGGGTAAATCTTTCGTTTTTCTTGGTCGATCACAAAGGTTTATTATTGAAAATAATAAAACTAAAAATATATAATCTATATATAAATATAACTTATATACAAAATACAGACTACACTTAATTTAGTACCAAAATTTGCCGTCTAGGGGTACAGCTGCCCGCTGATTTTCTGAGCTCTATTATGACTTATAATGAAATATATGTGGCTCATTACACGTTCATCGTCCGTCTATCACGTAGGGTTATCCTTCCTTATGAAATGGACAAAAATCAAAATAACAATAGAAACGAAAAGGAAAATAAACGAATGTTGTATTTTCATATTCCTACGCAGAACCTTTTTGAAAAAATGGAAAAAAAATTTGAGAAGGGGTAAATCTTTTGTTTTTCTTGGTCGATCACAAAGGTCCATTATTGAAAATAATAAAGCAAAAAATAAATAATCTAAACATAAATATAACTAATATACAAAATACAGACGAAACTTAATTTAGTACAAAAATTTGCCGTCTAGGGATAGAGCTGCCCACTGATTTACTGAGCTCTATTATGACTTATAATGAAATATATGTGGCTCATTACACGTTCATCGTTCGTCTATCACGTAGGGTTATCCTTGCTTATGAAATGGACAAAAATCAAAATCACAATAGAAACGAAAAGGAAAAAAACGAATGTTGTATTGTCATATTCCTACGCAGAACCTTTTTGAAAAAATTGAAAAAACATTTGAGTAGGGGTAAATCTTTTGTTATCTCGGTCGATCACAAAGGTCCATTATTGAAAATAATAAAACAAAAAATATATTATCTAAAGATAAATATAACTTATATACAAAAATATTTTTATTTAATTAATAATTCTGGCATGGATACAGCTGTAGTTGGCATATAGTGAGGAGTGGCAATCCTCCGGTTTCCAGAATACACAGACAGGATAGTACCGGATGTAGAGGGCTTATGACCTGCTCCATTTAAATAAACTTAATCTGGACATCTTCGTATGAAGAAGCCAAAACATACCCCGGGTTTTTGTGCCATGGAAATAGAGAAAGATAACTAATAAAATTAATTATTTTTAAAAAAAATTAATAGTTGCGTACGTTAAAAAAAAAAAAACTAAATTCATACTGAACGATCATATTCAAAATCTAGTTGCTGGTTGATTTTGAATCGCAGAGGCGAGGAATGCCATCATCGGATGAACTTCGCTGACAGTTTACTAACGAAGAAAGCCTGATCAATAGACTGACATAATCAGCGAATCCAAGGCGGATTTGCAGTCAACGCAATCTACAATTTAATGAAGATTCGTTAAGATTCCAGCTGGTCAGCCTGCTATCGAACCTCCTCTAATTGCAAAGCCTAATTTATGGTGAGGCGGCAAGGAGCGGTCAATCACACCCCAAAAGCTTATCCCCCCCCCACCACCTATCCTACCCTTCCGCCACCTACCTCACCCCCTCCTTCCCCCACCGCCATATAAAACCCCAAGACTTGATAGCAAGCGGTAACTCATTCCACCACCGTTAATTGCCACTCGCCTCCTCCGAGTCGATTCCTATCGTTGGATTAACTTATGCACGACCACACATTCTGCAACAATCTATAAAATATCTCTAAACGTGTCTTATAGCATATCGCAATCTTGTTCTTTTTTTTTATTGTTTTATTGAGTATTAATACAGTCTGCCACACTGAAGGGCATTGGTACTAGAGCTATAGCATTCATTACAACAATCTGAACATAAGAAAGGAAAATAAATAAAAATAACCAAGTACGAAGAGAAAAAAAAAACCAATATATATAAATAAAAAGATAAAGTAATATACAAGATAAGTAAAATAACAGATTAAAGCCAAATGATAATAAAATGAATAAAACACATTCACAACTATGTACAATATTTACCCAGAGACTCTGAATCAAGCTTTGTCCCCCAATTGTGGAAGCCAGCGCAGGACTCCAGGAGATCCCAGTGCTTCTCTCCTAGCCGCGTCACTGGTATAGTAAGCCAGTGGAGGCTGATGGAGGGCACGAGAGCAACAGACGCTCAGGATATGAGTGAAGAATCTGGGACATTAAAGTCATTGTGCAGGGTTTTATTGGTTACATAAAAGGGAGCATCGACTACT